CATATGCCTCTAGTGCCTTGTCAGTGTTGCCTAGCATCTTGTTCCTGATTGCACTTAGGATTCCATAATACTTGGCAGATCCCCTCATATGATCATGAATCGCCAAGATCCTCTCCATAGCCTTTTTCCACGAGCCGTACTCTCCTTCGTCACCAGAAAAGGTTCTCAAACTCTTTACTATATCTGAGGTCGTGCTCATTCCCTCTAATCCTCCTTCTTTGCTAAATCAATTAGGAAATCGTCCTCCTCTTCCAATTTTTCCTCAAGAATATTGTTACACTCTTCCCTATAAATTCTTTGTGCTTCATGTTTTATTAATTCTCTAATAGATTCAGAGATATTTGCACCTTGCCCATCGAGCACATGTTCCGTTTCATTTTGGTTCACAATTCGGGGCTCCTTATCAAATTCCACATGATGCCCTATGCGGCTTAGTTCTGGCCTAAATTTTCAGGAGTGGATGTCATTACAAATGGAGTTGAAGGCGGTCTTGATTCCATATCAGATACTTTCGAGGGAATATAAAAGAGATTTCGGTATATTATGTTCGAAGAAAGCCTGAAGTGTTAAAAATTAAGGACAAAATAATCAAAAGCTCAACGGAAAATTGGTTATTAGAAATTCAAAGAAAGGTTACAATTCTACTATAATAACAACCTTCAGTTTAAAATACCTTAAGATTTTGTTGTACTAATTTTCTGTGTATGTGTAAGAGTTTAGTAGGGATATTTGAAGGAATTTGTTAGGAATATGCCACACACCATAAGGTTTTATTTAAAATTTCTTGCTTATACTTTCTTTTACAAAATTTTGCTTGGCGTTTTTTAATATGGTTTATTCAAAGTTACAAACAATTCTGTAAATTTTTAATTAAATTTCTTATTATTTTGACAAAATTATTTGATACAAAAATAAGTAAAAAAAAAAATTTTATTTGCCTGTAATTGTAAATATTTAAATATGAAATATTAATTAAAATGAATTAAAAATAATTGCTCTGTTTTCTCCCCTTTTATATAATTATTTTACTTATTTGAAAATTTTATTTAATTGTATCACTTATTTGAAAATTAAAATTTTTTCAATTCTTACAATTATTATTCATTTAATTATTGATAATTTTATTTATTATTTAATTTAAAATTTATTTATTTTATAAAATTTAAAAATGTTGTATGGAATTGGGTTAAATTTATTTTATAATCAAAATCAAATACTTTTACAATTTTCATCCAATTCAACAGAAAATATTTCAAATTTCCATATATTTTTATAATTCTTTTACAATATAATTAATTTTTACTTAATGAGTTTTAATTTTTACGAAGCATCGAGAATATTGTGTTCAGTAATAAAGTATAGATCTATAGAGTAATAAATTATAGATTTTATATTTTTGTTCAAAATCTACCCAACTACAAATTTGGAGGATTTTCCTCTCGTTTTTCTGCTTCTAATTGTTATTAATTTTATTAGTTCTATTCGTAAATTCGGATTAATTGTATTAGTAAATTTAATAAATTTTTATTATTAAAGCAATTTTAACATCAATTTTCTACAAAGTTGAAAGATTTATAAGCACTATTACTCTTTTGATTAAGCACTAAATTTTCTGCACTATGATTAATAAAATAAATCGTAAGATAATATTACTATTTAGATTAGGCAATAAATTTTCTATATTAAAATTAATAGGATAGATAGTAAGATTCTATTGCTACTTAGATTAAGCACTAAATTTCTATACGATTAACAGGATAGATCGTGTTAGTTATCAAAATTCTATATTCTACTGTTATTTCTATTATTATTTCTACTATTTTCTACGGCTGATCAGGTTTAATTAAAAATCTTCAATTTCACGTGATTCAAAAATTATTATTAAATTATTTTTTCTCTTTTCTCCATACTGATGGGGATACTTGTTGACGAGAATAGGATCCACTATAATTTAAAAAAAAAAAAATGTTTATTTTCTTTTCTTTTTCAAAATTTTTTTTCATTAATTTTTTATAGTTGCAACAAAAATTTTCTCTTTATAAGTATTTATCTGAATTTTTTATCAAAATATACAGGTCTCCTTTTCTCCTCTTATTTGAGGGTACTAATTGACGTTAACTCTGTATTCTTTTGTAATATATTTTTTTCAAAATTTTTTTTTTTTTGTTTTTTTTTTTTATTTAACTTATAATGTAGCAGCTCCGTTTTGTCTAGTTTTAGACCACTTCGGGGCACCATTTCCCACTCTATTGTTTTAAAAAATTCAGCTTTCGCCTACTTGCTGCACTTGTTGTGCAGAAGGGAATTCCTCTAACACTGCTATTAAAAAAACTATTATTGTATTCACTGTTCTTAAATTAATTTTAATCCAAAAATTTGTTTATTAAATATTTTAATTTGTTAAAAAGATTTCTTTTATTTTCTTCTTTGAATTTATCTTTAAACATAAGATTCTCTTCTAAAAATTTTTTGTTATTTATTTCAATATTTTTCAAGAAAAAAACTTTAGATTTTTCCCAAAATTTTTTGTTAAATAATAAAATTTGTTTTAAATAGAATTTCCTTAAACTTTTTCTATTTATCTCTAAATTTTTTTATTATCTACTATTTTTTTCAAAATTGTTTCACAAGTTTTTTATTTTTTTTCACAGTGTTATTCACTCACACTTCTCACAACCTAGGTGGTCCCTGCTCGGGCGCCAATTAAAGTTCTGTGGCATCCACCTGGGTTCTGTCTTTTGCTTTCACTTCTTTTTGTAATTTTTTTTGGAGAAATTACTTTATTTTATTAATTAAAAAAAAACAATCTTTTTATTTAATTTTACAACAAATAAATTTTATTGGTTCTCATTTCTAATTATAAAATAATAATGATTAAATTTTTATACATATTGGCCTACAGATTTGAATAAAATTCCAGACCTAATAGATTTTTACGTTATAAAAAATATATCTAACAACTATATGCATGTCGAAGATAACTTAGAGATAACTTCGGATCATTTACCAGTGATACTTACATTAAGTGAACATATTATCTTCAAACCAAGCAACCCAAGTTTAGTTAATAACAAGTAAAAACGTTTCAGTCGGTATAAACCGATTGAATTATACCCTGCACCTTTCGTTGTTGTATAGCAAATACTCGAACCTGTGAAATCAGTCTATAGAAACTTGACGGATATGTCTGACCTATAATTGGACATCCGACTACCAAGTTTCATGAATCTGACTTTATAATTTTTCCAAATATTTGAAATCAGCTTTTGGAGTTGTATGGCACGTACCTGAACCTGTCAAGCAATTCCATCAAAACTTTACAAATATATCTGACGTATAACTCGACACGCAACTGCCAAGTTTCTTGATTCTGACTTTATTATTTTTCCAAATATTAAGAATTAACTTTTAGACTTGTATGGAAGCTACTCGAAGCTGTCAAGCAATTCCACCAAAACATCAGAAATATATCTGACCTATAACTCGACACACAACTACCAAGTTTAATGAGTCTGACTTTATTTTTCTTCCAAATACTAAGAATAAGCTTTTAGATTTGTATGGGAGCTACTCGAACCTGTCAAGCAATCGTCCCAAAACTTCAGAAATATGTCTAACCTATAATTGGACACACGACTGCCAAATCTCATGAATCTGACTTTATTATTTTTCCAAATATTTAAAATAAGCTTTTAGAGTTGTATGCGAGCTACTCGAACCTGTCAAGCAATTCCACTAAAGCTTCAGAAATATATCTGGCCCATAACTCGACACACCACTGCCAAGTTTCATGAATCTGACTTTATTCTTTTTCCAAATATTTAAAATTAGCTTCTGGAGTTGTATGGCAGGTACCCGAACCTGTCAAGCAATTCCTCTAAAACTTCAGAAATATATTTGACCTATAATTGGACACATGATTGCCAAGTTTCATGAATCTCACTTTATTATTTTTCCGAATATAAAAAATTTGCTGTTGGAGTTGTATGGCAGCCACCCGAACCGGTGCAGCTATCCCATTATAATTTTTAGAGCATGTGTAGAATATATTTGGACACATGTATACAAAGTTTTGTATTTATAGCTTTATTAGTTTTTGAAATATTTAAAATAAATTCTTTAAGTTGTATGGCAGCTACCCGAACCCGTTGTCCGAATTAGTCCAGTAACAATAGGGCTCGTCCTTGGCACAAAAGAAAAAACTTGTGAAAGTTTGGTGTCGATTGCATTATTCGTTTTTGAGTTATCGTGCGGACGGACAGACGGTCATGTCTAAATCGATGCAGAATTTTACGCTGAACAAGAATATATATATATGTCCATACCGCAGATGACTCCTTCAAGTAGTTACAAACTCCATACCAAAGTTAATATACCCTTCATGAAGTGCAGGGTATAAAATGACTGATTGGGAGTCCTTTAAAATAATGTTAGAAGAAAGAATTTATTTGAATGTGTCAATACAGACTGAAGAGCAATTGGATTTTGAAGTAGAAAAATTTAATAATGATATTCAGATTTCATCATGGGATAATACTCCAATCATAACCCATAAATTAAAAGGAAATAACTATCCTAAAGAAATTCTAGAAATGATTGCTGAAAAGAGAAAAGCAAGGAAGAAATGGCAGCAGACTAGAAATCCTCAAGACAAAACCAGACTGCATAATCTTACAGCACAGCTCAGTTATGAAATTAAAAAACTAAAAAATGATACAATAATTGCATTTCTTAGGAATCTTACTAATGACTCTAAAACTGAATATTCATTATGGAAAGCCACTAAAAATCTGAAAAGACCTATAATGCAGACCCCACCTATAAGGAATATAGATAATAGCTGGGCAAGAAATAACGAACAAAAAGCGACGAGATTTGCCGATCATCTTGAGGAAATATTTCAGCCAATCTCATCAGACAATATTGAAGTATTACAGGAATTGGAAAAATTCTGAAGGAACTTCCGAAGAAAGCTATAACCAAGCTAACTAAACTGAACAATGCATCATTTAGATTGCAATATGTACCACAATTATGAAAGATAGCTGAAGTAATCATGATCCCAAAATATCATACCGCCCGATTTCGCTGTTACCTGTTATTTCTAAATTATTTGAAAAACTTCTATTAAAAAGATTAAAGCCTATCATAGACGAGAAAAAACTTATTCCAGATCATCAATTTGGTTTTCGTGATCAACACTCCCCAATTGATCAGGTACATCGGATAACAAACGTAATAGAAGATACTTTGGAAAAAAGGGGAGTTTGTTCTGCAATATTCTTAGATGTAGCTCAAGCTTTCGATAAAGTTTGGCATGAAGGATTGAATTATAAACTCAAGTTACTCCTTCCTGATAAATACTCAAGAATACTGAATTCATACATATCGGACAGATAGAAAATAATCTACCATAAAACTAGAACATATAGTAGTTGGTCATTATTCCAGGAATCGTTTGTACTCCCGCTTAGACATCTCTATGCTTATAAGTGTTTTAAAAAAATTTTTAATTCTGGAATTTCATCACGTATACGTAGCTGCAATTATTACAATCTTAGAACAAACAAACTTAATCTAGCTAGTATACCATTTGGATCTAAAACTCATTATAAAAAATTCTTTGAAACTCGAGCGTCAATTTATTTTAATAATCTTCCTCTTCACATCAGAAATGAAACTGTTTCTCATAAATATTTAAAATTATGCAAAGCTTGGCTATTATCAATTAATTATTACGACTTTGAAAAACTTAATTAATTGTGGAATTTACTTGATGTTGGTAATGGAAATTTTCCTATAGTCTTCTGTAAATAAAATCATTCCGTGAACGTTTCCTTCTCATTCTTTGTATTTCTTCTCTTATTCTTTTCAATTTTGAAAAGTTATATTGAGTTGAAAATACTCAGGAGAGGGAAAGTCCTCGGGTCACTTCATTAATTTGAAATGACCTATGAGATAATTTAAATAAAGATTTAAAATTCTGACTTTTAATAATTTTAGATGCGTCTAATATAACACCTACAAATTGCTTGGGGGATGTCGCGGTGGTTTACAATAAAAATTTTATCAAATCAATTAGTATTCATGGCAAATCTGTTGTTGATATAAGACCCGACATTGATAAAGATAGGGTTCTTACCTTCTGCACAGCACTTTTTCGAACAAAATCCTGCTCTCAGTTGGAAAACATATTATTAAATGCTGATAATCTTCAATTGTCTTTGCTTAAACCTGTGGACATTCCTCCTCAAACTTCCTCAAAAAAAAATTACAATGCAGTATCATTTGACTATAAAGAAGAATCCAGCTCTTCAGAGATAAATGATTTTAAATGGATAGTCTTGTCAGCAAACTATGATAGAATTAGTCCTGCAATGCTCAAAATTCCATATTTCGTTATTAAAATGCATGTGAAAAGAATTAGTGATAAAGAAAATATTACTCTTTTTAAAGAACGTATTGCTAAGAAGTACTTTAACTGCGATTATCAAACTTTGTGTAATAAAGAAATTAAGCAAATGATACTCGTATTAAATTACTTATGTTGTTCTTTCTACCCAATGTGTAACTGCATGTTTAAAAAATAGTAGCTGATTTGTTATACAAGATAGATATAAGAATTGATATAAATATAAAATAAAATTTGTCTTAAACCCCACATTTACTATTTACTATTTATATATAAATTGTATTAAGATACAGCTATGCAACACTAGTGAATTTCTCACTACTGCATAGTTTATATTTTTGTTTTCTGTTTTATTTTTAATTTTCATTCAGATTTTAATATATTTTTTGTAACAATATAATATTAATTAAAATTATAATACATAATTTTAAATTTTGTATTAATGAAGTTTTTGAAATAATTATAAGTTAATAATAAATTGTTATATTATATAATATTTTAGCATACTTTTATTAGACCTAAAATATTATAATCTTGAATACATATTGTAAATTTGAATAAATTTAAATAAAAATAAATAAATTTAAATAAATAAAATTTAAATAAAATAGATATTTCAGGATCAAATAAGAAGATCATTATTCCGAAATTAAGAAAATCCAGGCAGGTGTACCACAGGGTAGTGTATTAGGACCAATCCTTTATCTCTTGTACACTAGCGACTTGCCTATACCAGAACAAAGTACTGTTGCTACATTTGCTGACGACGCGGCTATTCTGGCGACTGGTAACAACACTATTGAAACAACAGCAAGATTACAAAACGCAATCAACAAAGTGCAAAATTGGGCTAGCAAATGGCGAATTAAACTCAACGAATCAAAATCTATACATATTGACTTCACAAATAAACACACTCAGTAAAAGCCAGTGTATATTAATGAAAAAATAGTACGATATGAAAATACGGCCAAATACCTGGGCATGTCACTTGATGCAAAACTCAAGTGGAAACCACATGTCAAGAAAAAACTTGATATATTCGGAATATCAACCTACATAAGGATTTGGGTGTAGAAATGCTGGACAACGTAATTAAAAAATATGCACAAGGTCATCAAAATCGACTACAACACCATGTTAACATTGAGGCTCTTCAACTGCTGGATAATGACGGCAAAATTAGAAGATTGCAGCGAACAAAACCGTTCGAATTACTTTAAGATAAAATAAACTAAATGATTAAATTAAAAAAAAAATCATTAGAATTATAAGCAAAAAGAAATTATCATAGGATAAAAAACTTTGTAAAATTTTGTAAAAGTAGTAAATTAGTAGGCTAAAAACAAATAACTTATTAGTGTTAAATTGCTAGATTGTTATAATGAGCACACCAACGGTGTTTTTAATAAAAAAAAAAAATTTTTATAAAATGTTAATTTTTATTTACGATCGCTCTACTTGCAATATCAGCAAAATTGCTATAGCTGCAACGTGACCGTTAAACGAATTTTCATGTGAACTAAATTTTAAGGTAGTTCACACCGAAAATTGCTGTGTTGACGATTTCGCAATTTTTAAATTAAAATTTTTGGGTGAAAGGTGATAGGTTAACGTCTGAAATAATGTGCAACGTTAACTTATATATATATGTCCATACTGGAGATGACACCTTCTAGTGGTAACAAACTCCATACCAAAGTGAATATATCCTTCACGAAGTGCATGGTATCAAATGAAGCGATTAATTCATAATCTGATGTAAAACAGCAAATAGTAGTCTCATAATTATGGAAAAAGAGAGATAGGTGGTTATACCAAATTTATAAAACGCACTTTGCAAAGCATATCTCGATTTAGGCGATTTATGAAAAATTACACCTCAAATTTAAGTCGACTTAAACTGTTGTTGCAAAACTGTAAATATCGTTTTGGATGACTTATGTTATATTGAAAAGGAAACAAAATATGTATATTATTTCAACGTTGTTTGATTTTTCACTTTTTTTCAAATCATTGCCATAAAAAACATAAATGGAGGTGACAAATGAATAAAGTTCAAGTAAAGATTATTTCTAAAAATTTAAAGTTGCTAAAAAAATTTAAGAAAGGTTACAGTATCTTTTATTCTCCCCCTCCTCTCGTCTACTAAATCTCCAGTCTTAATCGTTTTGTAAAATTTGTAAAACAAAGGATCAATAAATTGTATAAATTATACTCTAAATCTTTCTTTTTTAGACTAATTTTGACTTTTCTTCAATTTGGAGTATATCTTGAAAATTTAGTTAGCCAACACCTCGTCTTAAAATATACAAAAGGGTTCTTTGTATAATCTGTTCTTGTTAAAAATTTTTAAAAGTATCTAATAAAGTTGTGCCAAGAAATAAATTTGTAGCATGAAAATATTTAATGATAAAGTTGTAGCATAGATATTCATATGTAGTAAATATTTACTAGGGGCCCCTGTGGTTTGCTTATAAGCAGCATTGTCTGTTGTAAAAACAGGATTGTGGCAATCAATTTTAAAATAAGTTTAGAAAAATTTGTACATATTATGGCATACATATGCAGGTATATACTTGTATATGCATAAATATCATATTGGTTTGAATACTAACATATAAAAGTAATGGAAATATTTTTAATTTAATAAATTTTAAGATGTAATATGTGTCACTGTTAATTACATAGATATGATTAAAATTCAATTTAAGAATTAGTTAACAATTAAGAACGAAAAATTTCCTTATAAACAACTTTATCTGTTAAAATATTTCCATCATCGATTTTTCCCTGTCGAACCGTATCTTTGACTTGAATTTTTAAAGAATTGGAGTCTATGGCTCTTGAACATGCTGTGTATAATTGCCCATGCGAAAAGCACGGCTGGGGAGATAGAGGCCATCCTTTTCAAAAGTTTGCCCTTGGGACTTATTTATAGTCATGGCATATGCAGACGGATGGGGAACTGGTGCCGAACAAAATTAAAAGGAAAGGAAATAGTACCTTTCACGTTAAACTTTAAAACCAAAGTGAATGTGAATTAATAAAAAATCAATGCCTCTTTTCTTTATACAGACCTGGCTTGGCTACTTACTCAATTGAAATTTCGCAAGCACACGAAGAATAATTGCCTTAGTACGTAACATTATTCGTGTTCTTATATCTCTCACAATTTTTAGTTTTATTTTTTTTAATTCCATTCCATGTTAAATACAACAACAAAAAATTATTTTACTCTTACTTAACTCATTTAAAATATTTCGCTTCCTTTTGCTTTTTATTTTTGTTTATGGTAGTAAAGCAAAAAAACAAAAAAAATATTACTACTCTTTTTTTATTCTCTTTCGCTTTTCGCTTTTCATTTTTTGTTTTTGTTTTACAGTATGTATAATCAATTGAGTAATGTATGTACCCAGTATTCTCTTTTGCTATTTTCATTTCTTTGTTTTTGTTATTTATTAGATTATATGTATACCTGTTTATGAACTGGAAAAATCTTGTAAAATATAATATAGATATTTCGTTTTTGTTTCAAACACTTTTTTAGAAACAATTAGTTTCAGCAAGGCAAAGTGTAAAGTGTGCTTTATAAAATTTCAACCTTATACGTTTTGCATTTTAAATTATTGTTCGTGCCATTTACGTCCTCCGAAATTGCTGACATGTTTTATCTTGCATTTTTGTTTCTGATATGCCTATTAATGAGGCCATATATAAAGTTCTTTAGAGTTATGTTCTCGTACCCATTAGGATTCGAAAATTTGCTTTTGTATGTTATTGGAAATCAGCAGTAGTTTTTACGACAAAAGAAAGTCGCTTGCCTTTATTCATTTCCCAAATTCCTATCGTTGAATGCCCTTTTTCTTGAATTTTTCTTTAATTTGTTCTGCATTTCAATGAGCCAAATCAGGATAATTAATACAGTCATCGCAACCAAAGTCAATTGAGTTTTTCAACTATATTTACTTCTGTTTCCGAAGTAAGATCTGTTGATGCTTGTTTATTTCCTATAGGACCCGTTTGACTAATTTCTGTGTTTTAAAACATTTTGAATTCGTTATGTTAATCTCAAATACATTGCGTTACCTCTAATATCCGCTACAATCATTTCAGTTCTTCTAGGAAGTTCGAAAATTTTTAACGTACATTTATTAATCGTGAAAAAGTATTATGTTAGATAATTTTGATGTTTTTTAAAATTTTCAACATTAGCACATTTAAAAACACCAATAAATAACTGTCTATAGCAGCCTTATTCAATACAATTATACAAATACGATATACAATTTTCGTTTTCTTTTTTACTATCAAAGTAGATACGTCTATTATATATAGCTACTTCTCAGGTGCCAAAAGGTACGAGCACCTCTAGAAAGGCATTAGATAGGGTTTTGCCTCTAGAGTCAAAGAAAAATCTTACATTAGACCTTTTTATCCCCGAAATACCTCTATTTTGAGATTTTCTAAAAAAAATTTCGTATAACAACCCAAGAAATAAATGATACTTTATACATATTATTATAAACACGAACCGAGAACGAGAAATAAATAATATTCGAAAATATAATGATCTTACATATTTTTAGTTCGAAAAATCGGAATAGACTTAGATAAGAATAGTTTTTTTTTATATTAAAATAGTTTTTCCTGCTGTAGTTTTTGCTTTATATTAAATATTTAACCTTGTTATATTAAATATTAATTTTTACTTTTCTAAGTTTTTAATAATATGTCATTTCATCTACATATGAAAATTATTTGTAAATTGATTTATTTTATAAATACTGTATATACAGTGTACAATATTATACTACGAGCATAATAATGTTATTATATATATATAGCTACTTCTCAGGTACCAAAAAGTACGGCCACTTCTAGAAGGGCTAGAGACATGCGATAGGGTTTTGCCTCCAGGGTCCCAGAAAAATCTGACATTGGAACTTTTTAGCCCCGAAATAGCTCTATTTTAAGATTTTCTGAAAAAATTTTTGTATAACCATTTTTGTATAAGCACGTTTTTTAGCACTTTTCCAAAAATTTTTTGAAAAAAGTGCTTATTAGTTTCACTCTGACCGTCCGTCCGTCCGTCCGTCAGTCCGTCCGTCCGTCCGTCCGTGGACACTTTTTTTGTTTACAAAACTTCAGCTTTCTATCTACTTGAAGATAGAAAGCTGAAATTTAACACCTACATAGACCTTTACTAGAAACTTATTCCCATAGAACAAAATTTTTTACCTATTTCTCCCCTCTAGAAGTTATACCCCGGAAAACCCTAAAAATGGCCTTTTTTAACTATTTGTTGCAATGAAACCATAAGCATTTCTGAAATTTCGCAAACGCAGAAAGGCAGTGGCTTGCTTGCTCTAGCGTGGTATACTATAGTTAAACTTTAGCAAAACAAAATGGCCGTTCAAATTTACCATTATCTAAAGTCCTTTTTTCCAAATTTTTGATGTCGTTTTTCTTCTAGACCCCAGCCTGTAGAAGCTTAAAACTTTAGGAGCTTTTAAACATTAACAAATAGTTCATTTTGATAGAAGAAATTTTTTTTCCATCTCCACCCCCTCTCAACTCATCGCCTCTTGAAATTTGTAAAATTTGAATTTTTGACACCTTATATTTCCGAAACCGCAAGTTCTTTCAAATTTCTATAAACACAAAAGGCTAACGGCAAGCTCCATGACATTAAAAAATATAATTAGTTTTCTTAATTCATACAATTAAACCTTAAAATCGAGCATTAGGTTAACCTCAGTTTATATTGTTTTTTCCTTTATTTCAAAGACTGCATAAATTGCTCATCCTAAATATATGCAATCCTAGAAATAGTTTTGTATATGAATGAAAATAATTTAATAGTGTGATAGGTATACATAGACTGTATTTAAAAGAACTTTCACTTGTTGAAGGGAAAAGTG